GAAAGGAAAAAAAAAAAAAAGTCTAAAATTGTCTAATTTCCTACTTCCACGCAACTTAAATTTGTCAATATTTTCCTTATAATCAGGAAGGTCAGACAATATGATCCCTCTGTTTCTTCTAACCGTAACATTCTGAGATATTACTGTATAGTTCTTTGTCTTGAACACATTCCTGGTAAATAGGTGATACTGAAAAATTACAAAATATACCTAACAGATCCAAACAGTCTGTACAGCAGCTCATCTGCACAGCACAATTAATATACTATTGAGCTTCCACGACATTTTCAATGTCCCATGTTTATTAATTTGGTATTATGGCTATATGCTTCCATTACAGTCACATCAATTTTAAGAATCATTCACTAAGTAGAGATTTTGGAGCCGCCTACATGTAAGCAGTAAGTATGAGCAGGGTCGGGTCAGATCTCTTAGGGTGGCCGAGGCGTGAAAAAAGGCTGGTAACCATAAATCTTCAATCTATATTCTTCAATCTAGGAGAACGTCAATCGCCTATTCTTGAAAAGAACTTTTTTTCTAAGAAGTGTGCTTGCTGTTTTGAAAAATATGTGAATCTTAACCAACTAGTTGAGACAGAAACACACTTACTTCACTGTGGCACTTAGGAGAAAGTTCAGCTGTGGCATTAACAGGCTGTCTGGGGCTGACAGGTAACGATCAAACTGAACCTAAATGAAACAGAGAAAGAGCAAAACATAAAGTGCGTACATCTGCTAACGGACATCTCAAATATAACCAACTCATTTAAGGGTTAAATCTTAGGAAATATACCATAGTACAAACAACGACTTCTTTGTGATCAAATGAGTTATTTCTTCAACATTCTAACTAAAATTCCCTAAAAGTATAAACTTCATTTTTTAAAAATATTTATTTTTGAGACACAGAGAGAGAGAGAGAGAGAGAGAGAGCAAGTGAGCGAGTGGGGGAGGTGCAGAGAGAGAGGACAGAGGATATGAAGTTGGCTCCATGCTAATAGCAGCAAGCCCAATGCGGGGCTCAAACTCACAAACCATGAGATCCTGACCTGAGCCAAAGTCAGACGTTCAACTGACTGAGCCACCCAGGCGCTCCACAAGTGTCGACTTCTTAAAGTAGTTAATATCAGCATAGCTGCTTTGAAAATTCTAAATCCAAGTGGTTCATCTTAATCTCCCTCAGCGAACTTTTGAATAAAAAATACTAACAAGAAGTAAAGTGATCAGATTTCAAGTCTACCTTACTTCCTTAAATCCACTGTATGTTAATTATTCGTTTACTTATTCCTTCAACTGATATTTATCGAGTACCTACTATTAGGAAGGTAGTATATTAGGTAAAGTATATATAGTGGTGAGCAAAAGAGGACAGTCCCTAGCTTCAGAGAGCTACGGCCTACTGAGAAAGATGGTAAGTAAGTAATAAGGTAAATAAATATATAATTACAAACTGTGTTGGATGCTATGAAGGAAAAAACCAAAGTAGTATAAAAGTGTAAATCAGGAGGATGGACCTAGCTTCTGTGTTTGGCTAAAGAATCTGAGGAAAGGAAATCTGAAGTGAGATCTTAGAGATGAAAAGAGACTAAGTACGTGTGTGCAGTGAGGGTCCGGGGGTTGCATGGATGGGACAGCACGAAGACTTGAAGTGAGAAAGAGAATGGCGAACAGAAATCAGTTCGTATAGGTCTCACATGCTTTCTTACAGGATTTTAATTCTTATTGGAAAGGCATGAGGAAGCCATTGAAGGAGGGGAATAATCTGATTTAAGTTTTAAGAAACTAAGTCTGGCTGCAGGAAGAAGGAAATGGAAGGTAGATGCAAGGACACTAAATAGGCAGCTACCGCGGCACCTTAGACTACAAGGACAATAACACGGCAGACAGAAGAGGAGATATTTGAGAGAACTGGACAGTAAAATCAGCAGCATCTGCTTAGTGACAGGACGGAAGGGCATGACTCTCAGATCTGGATCTGTGCCATTTAATTCACAGCATTATTACAATTCATAACTGTATTCTTTTCACACTTATTTATTGTGTAACAGCTATACCCCTTACTAGATCATGTCTATTTTCATCCCAATTCTTAGCATAATGCCTAGAAAACAGAGGACAATGTTGAAATAATAATGGACAGAAGCTCTTACTGCTTTCTGAGTTAAGAACACTTGGAGGAGGACCTGGGGGTGGGGGGCAGGAAGACGTGACAGAGTTCGAGCCTGAGGTATGCCGAACTAAAGTGCCCTGAAGCATTCCAGTGAAGGCAGCAGGCAGTTACCACACACAAAACAAGATTCTGTTTCGTTAGAGAGACATAAAATCTTCAACTCAATTGTTATTCAAGTTTAAGACCACGCACAAAAGAACTTGCAACGCGGTTTAAATGTATTTTGTGGGTTTATATTATGGACTGGATATGTGTCGGTGGGGAGAGAAAGACAGGGAGGAAACACATTTAGTGAGTACGAAGATGACTGATCTGTGTGTAGAGTTATGTCCTCATTTTGGGGGGGCAAATACGTTGGAGTGAGACCACTAGGTAGTATGGTGAGTGTATATTTAACTTTCTAAGAAGCTTATCTTTTTTTAGGTTTATTTATTTTGAGAGAGAGAGTGCACACGCGCATGTGTAAGTGGAGGAGTAGCAGAGAGGCAGAGAGGGAGAGAGGGAATCCCAAGCAGGGTCCGTGCTGCCAGTGCAGAGCCTGACGCTGGGGCTCAATCCCACAAACCGTGAGACCACGACCTGAGCCGAGATCAGGAGTCAGATGCTTAACCGACTGACCACTCAGGCACCCAGAAACTCACCTTTTTGAAATAATCTAAAATGTATTCATTTCCATTTATCTTTACTTAAACTTTTTAGAATGAAATCTGTTTTGAAAGTTTTTGCTGTGATGTTTGATGAATAGAAGTTATGACTGTTACTTCTCTTTCTCTAGTCTTTTGTCATGATGTGACGTTTCTTATTTAGTAGTTGAGAGTGTAAGTACTAGGTTGAATGGGGTGTTCGGAGGTTTCGAGTTAATACACGAAAAACCCTTGGCACGCGCAACAAATGTTACTGGCTGGTGTTATTCATCACTGTTATTACTACCGCTAGCGTTATTATTATATAGCTTCCAAAGAACATCATCATCCTACAAGGGCTAAATGAGTGTCACGTGATTGGTGGACATACATACACGCAAAGTCTATACTTAAGACATGGAAACACACTCCGGGAAGCGGCACGCGGGCAGAGAGGGATGTGCAAGCAAGCTCTTCACTTGAAAAGAAGGTAATAAAGTGGAGGTTCGAGGAGTCTCATGCTCCAGAGTAATTTTAAGACTGGACTCTGATTTCAGTGATCTCAGAGAGAAATCAAGAACTATAAAGACTAATAGCAGGAAGTCTTGAATGATATACAGCCCAACTTCTTCGTGTCTGTCATTCCCGTTTCTCTATGACATTAGGAGTAAAACTCTGAAAATGAAGAAAACCTGAACAGGGATGATGAGGTTATGAGGGTGTAGTGGAATATTAGCACAAATGGATGTCGTGTTTGGACCTTAGTTAAAGGAAACGTGTGTGCAATCATTATCCTTAAACCCCCTGTAGATAAAGTATATATCAAGAGACAAAATTACCACCGAGGACAAAACTATCACACAGGAAAAAATTAATAGTGTTCCATAAGGAAACCTATGCTGAAATGCTTGATTTTATTCTTATTCACTTACCATTGCAGCCTTCAGTGCCACGGAATCTAGGTTGGGCAAATTAGCTAAAGAGCCCTAGGAAAAAAAAAACAAAAACAGCAAAAACAAGATGTAAAAAAGGTGCTACAGTTTCCGTTCACTTATGAAATACAGGCTATTAATAGATTCCCCAAATTTGGAAATTCGGCTCATTTCCAAAGAACTCAAGCGTCATCTCTTCAACCTCAGTGAGAGCAGGGACTATGGCTTGTTCATTTTTGTGTAACTAGAACGAAGGCACGTAATCATATTTGTCGGAGGGAGTGACAAGCAGAAGTTTAACAACAGGAACACCAGGATATTTCAGATTGACTTATAAGCAAGCAAACAGGCGAGGAAGCCATTTCCTAAATGCTTGAAGTCTCACCCTGACAATCTGAGATAGTATAAAACGGCAGCAGAATTGATTCTTCTCTGGTAGAAATCTGCTTGCTGCTTTATCAAAATAACAAATTTGGAGCTGGTGATTTTTGAAAGCTTCATTTAAGAGCTCCTGGACTATAAAATATGTTTCATGTTAATGCCACTTAAACGAGTTCTTTGCGGGGTGCGCCTGGCTGGTGCATGTTGGTACAGTGTGTGACTCCTGATCTCAGGGTCATGGCTTTGAGCCCCGTGGTGGGCATGCAGCCTACTTAATAAGATAAAACAAAATCTTTAAAAAAATGAGTTCTTAGCTTTCTAAAGAAAGATGCTTACGCGAATTTCTCAGGTTCCCCCACTCCCTTCTCTATTTCCACTGGAGTTCTATAACTTAACAAGATCTTATGTTGGTCTCAGGAGTATTTACCTTTCCAAAGTAACAGACCAAGATTTGCTAAGTTAAAAAGGGGATGACTGCATTTACACACCAATCTATGCATTCAATTAACCCATAGTGATACAGGACTCTGAAAAATTTACCAGTATGAATATCCTTTATGCAATTTATAATACTGATTTTTGTATATTTTCATTACTTTTAACCAAAATTATCCATAGTAAAAAGTATAGTTAATATTTAGGGGCACTCTACTACAGTCTCGGGTAGTCATCTAAGAACTGTACATATGTTACCTCACTTAATCTTCGGAACAACCTATGATACAGATATTATCATTACCCCAATTCCACAGCTGAGGAAACAGATACAGAGAGATAAGTCACTTTCCCAGTGAGAATAGCTAGTAAGCGGCAGAGCCAAGGTTCAGTTAGAGGCTAGCTCTAGACCCCACACTCTAAACGCGTATTTCCATGTGCTTACCTGCTCAGGTTTATGTTGCTGCACGGTGTTATAGATATAACTCAAGCCGGCTCTAGTTAAAACATAAGAAGCTTGCTCATTGATAAGCGTGTCCAAATGTGCTTCAATCTAAAAGAAAACCCAGCAGAAAGAAAATATTTTAAAAGAGGAATAAGACTGCGGAGAGTACAAGTAGACCACTCTGGAGTCAGCTCTTCATCACGGACTTGCTCCTTGCAGCGGCCATGAGTTCCAGACCATGAGGCACATGGGCCACTTCTGTGACAAAATCTTTTCCTTCCCCCAAAAAGGAAGTCCTCCTACAAAAGGGAGAGAAAGTCTCATTTTAAAAATGAGAACTGAAAGGATTTCAGTACTAGCCACTAGTCAAACAAATTGAGTCTCTTGTTAGCTCTTTTAAAAGATGGCAATAAACAAAACACAAACAAACAAACAAACAGGAAACATTAAAAGATAACAACAATATAAAATACTTAGGAAGACTTCTGGGAAGATGAAGGCCTGATGTTCCTGACCTCCACATACCCCTACCTTCCCAACTTACTGGACTCAACCAATCAAATGTGCCGTATGGAGACGCCTGGAGGCAACAGGTTTCTCCCGGGGAGAAAGCAGGTTTCTACCAGGGGGGAGTTGAGAACCCAGCAGAAGGTTGGCCAAAGATTTCAGGTTTAGGAACTGTCCACGAAGACTTGACTAGCAGATGTGAGTTGTATGTGCTCACCTGCTTTGTGTTATCCTCGGGGAAGCCATCTAATGCTAATGGGGGCAGAATCCACAGAAGTGGACTACCCTGATGGGCTGAAGTATCCCTTAGTGGGAAGAAGTCTTCTGCCCCCTTACTTTTACCAGTACATGCCTGAGAGTTTGGAGATCTTCCTTCTTCTCCTGACCAGCAAGTTCCCTCAGCTTTGCCAGTCTGTTTGCCGGGGCACAGAAACGCTACCCACTGTGCTGTTACCATCTGATGCTTCTGTTGTCCGAGTAACTCCAGTTTGCTGCTGAGGCCCTCCCCCTAAAAAACTTCCAACTAACTTAAAAAAGGGGAGTATGTTCTAAGAGAAAGCCCATCTGAATGATTAGAAGGAGTAACTTTTCCGGAGGCAACCCTATTAAAAGACGCAGAGTACTTTATTTTTTTCTCTTAGGTAAATGTCCAAGAAAGTACAATTAGAGGCCTTAGACACTAGACTTACTGGAAATCAAAAAAAAAAACAAAAAAACAAAAACACCAAGATGTGCAAATATAAACATTTAATGACAGAGCTAAGAATCAAATTAGCATCTGAAGAAGAATGGAAGAAAAGTAACATAGTAACATCAAAGAAAGATTAAATAAAGAGATATGAAAAGATATTAAAAGAGAGATTCTGGAGATAAAACCAATAAAGGCAGAAACTTCAGAATATAAAATATAAAATTTTTATAATTATATAATTATAAAATATAAAATATAAAAAATAGAAAATAGAAAATTCAGAATATACAAAGAAAAGTGATAATTAATTAGGTAATAGAAAACTATATTGAGCAAAATAAAGGGTTGAATCTTCAGACTGAAATGGCTCCGCAAAATCCAAATGGGGAAAGAGACATACCAAAAAATACCCTGAGGAACTAACTATCTGAACTCAAAGGAAAATCCTTACGAGCTTCCAGATGGACAGAGTAAGTTACCACAAAGAAAAGAGAATCAGACTAGCCTGGACTCCTTACTTGAAACACTGGAAGAAGGTAAGTCAGAGTAGAAGAAAATTAATAGACCATTGATAGAAAAGGTATGAAAAACCAAAAATTGTTTATGCAACAAGATAAAATTTCTTTGGAGGGCCTAAATAAACCATGCCTTCCAGTACCCACATCATTGTACAATCCTCTCTCAGAGCTCCGGGCTGGCCCATGCAGCTAGCACTGGCCAACAGCCTATAACCAAGCATGAAGTTAAGTGCAGGCTTCATAAGCACTTACACATTGGGGCTTGTCCCCTTGGAAAGCAAAACATGACCAGGGAATATTTAAGGAACACAGGTAACTGGTGATAAAACAGACTGATGAACACCTGATATACCTGAAAAGCTTGAGAAAAGATTTAGACAAATGGCAGGGTTTAGGGATTGAATCAGTGATAAATACAGTAAAAACCAATGAATTTTTTTTAAAAAGAGATTTCTAAAAATTTTTTGAGAGTGAGAAGGGCAAAGGGAGAGGGAGAGAGAGAGAGAAAGAGAGAGAATCTTAAGCATGCTGAGCATGGAGCCCAACATGGGGCTCGATCCCACGACCCTGGGATCATGACCTGAGCCAAAATCAAGAGTCAAATGCTCAACTGACTGAGCCACCCAGGTGCTCCTTAAAAAAATAATTGTATTAATTCCACAAAAAACAGTTATTTAAGAAAGGAAAATTAATCATACCTCATTATATTTCTTTTAAAAGAAGGAATTAGAAATTAGAAAATATCACAAGTTTAGACTTATCAAAACTCATGCTTTAGAAAACCCCCAAAGTTCACAAATAAATTACTATAGCCACTGCCATATTACTTATATACTTGTAATAACACAGAACAGTCAGCATTTTTTCTTCAAAACATTATATATACCAAAAGTCACTATTTCAAAATCAGAAGCCAAGTATCTGGTAAATTTTATAAACGGCTTAGCCACTTTACAAACTCTTATATGATACTATTTGGTTTATAGGACTAGAGTCATTGGTATAACAAATTGTAATGTTTTGCCTAACACTGGTTTACACATAGATAAAAATATATCTGTCCTCTGTAACACCTTCTGCACTAGCTAGCAAGCTTGGAAAATATAGCATATTATTCACAGTTCAGCAACTGAAATCTGCATACAGAATTGCTATTCCAATCAATAAGAAAAGCTTCATTCTATCATCACATACTATGGTTTGAATAAAATATCATACTCATTACATATTCTGGCTTCCCAAAACAAAACTGAAACACCAAGTATGTGTGCGCGTTGTGTGAGTGTGTGTGTGTGTGTGTGTGTGTGTGTGTGTGTGTGTGTGTGTATTTCCATCAGACTATACCCAAGAATTTATTGAAATTAGGTCACCGAAATTGGACTAAAGCCAGTAACTGAGATCAGATGAAAAAAGGCTCTGTCACAGTGAGCGGGCATCTTATGACAAAGTTTACCTGAAACTGTAGCATTTCTAGGCGTCTGTCAGTGAACTCAAACAGAGCTAGTGTTGTCTTCATCATATAGAGTGAATTGACCATGAAAGTGGCCATGTCAGCTGTGCCTAAATTGCTGGCAGATACGGTACACATCTGGAGGAGAGGATCTAAGACACACGATAAAACCTATAAGTGAAAAATAAAATAAAATCTATTTTTTATTCCCAATCAGTGATACAGGCCTGGGTTAATAGTACTTCAGAAAGAATGACAAACTAATTGGAAGGGGAGCACCTTATAAGATTAAATGCTATAGTAATCATAATGTTTTTTACAATGGGCATCACTGAATAAAGTACTTTTTAAATTAAAGAGAGATGATCTAATACGTGAAAGAAAAAATCAATGAGAGGGACTGTTACAATGCACGGGTTATAAAACGCCAGAATTTCAACAGAATGTATAACAGAGGAGCAATAAATAATCATTAAAAATGATTTACAACATACTTGCACAAAGTCAGCTTGACGGGCATCTAACGGTACAACTGAAGAATCGTGAGATGCCAAAACTTCACGCAACAATGCGAGTGTCTGATTTAATGCAGAACTTGGTCCAAGATCAGGTGGTGGGAGTTCAACCTGAAATAAAGGGTGGCTTCATCCACTGCTTACATTTTCCACTAAATTTTAATGTATAAATAAATACAATTCACAGTAAAACAATACATGTAAAAGATGTAAAGATTTGGCCAGCATTACAAAATCTAGAATTGATCCATAGCTGATACTAATAAGCATAAAGTGACACCAAAGGTTTTTGTTGTATTATCACAGAATTAATATATTCTTCTCACAATTAGAAGTAAAGAATTTATACTTCTAAAATTCAAAAGTTACAAGAAAACTCAGTAGTCTTTAATGTAGAATTATATTTTTATGCAGATTTGAAATGGCCTACTGTTTTGGGTTTTTGGTTTTTGTTTTTTTTTTAGCCCAAGTCATTAGAAAAAGGCAATCTAGAAACCAACACTCCCCCAACGATAATATAGTTGAGAATCATCATCCACCCTCAGGCCCAAATCTCAGAAATGTGGCTCAATATACATAGGTTTGGGGACTAGGAATCCATCTTTCAATAAGCATCACAGGTGATATTCAGATCAGTCTATGGGCTACACACTTCACAGAAACACAGTGCCCACTATTCTACACAGTGTAACACTGCCACTGAAATCTTTAGCACTGAAGTTAAAGATTAGTTTCACACTTTAGATTACCAATCACTAGTTGTGTGGTCCTGGGTAAGTTCTTTAACTTCTCAGAATTTCAGAGGGATTCTTTAAGGATTAGTGGGATTGTTGCATATAAACTATTGGGTACTATAAACTGGAAGGTATGCCCAGTTCATTCTCTCTACTTGCTGGCATCATGATATCCAAGAATATGTGCTGGTGAATTTTTGTTGAGTACTTATAATAACATAGTCAGATCTTATCTAAAAAATATGATACTCAGAAGTCTATGTAAGAGACTATAACCTTGTGTCAGACAGAAAAGTATAAGAATTTTTAAATATCTCGATTTATATGAAGAATGTTTTATATAGAAAAGTTAATACATAAGTGACAGCAGCAGGAATATCAAAGTATGGACCTCTGAAAATCTTCCCTCTTTCATAAAACAACAAAACCAAAAAATTATAAGACATGCAAAGAAACAAAAATATATGGTCCATGCACAGAAAAAATAGTCAATGGGAACTTCCCCTGAGGAAGCCTGGACACTGGAGTTACTACACAAAAAATCTGAATTGACTATTGTATTTTATTTTAAAGTTTATTTACTTATTTTGAGAGAGAGAGAGAGAGAGAGAGAGAGAGAGAGAGAGAGAGAAAGCACAGCAGGTAAGGGGCAGAGAGAAGGAGAGACAGAATCCCAAGCTTGTGGGGCTCAAACCTACAAACCGTGAGATCATGACCCGAGCTGAGATCAAGAGTCAGATGCCCAACCAACTGAGCCACTCAGCACCTCAAAATTGGCTATTTTAAGAAAGGGAACCAGGTTAATGAATTAAAGGGAAGTATGAGAACAATGTCTCATCAAATAGAGAATATTTACAAAGAAATAAAAATGATAAAAAGAAATAACTGAATAGAAATTTTGTAGCTGAAAGTAACTAAAATGAAAAATTCACTCTAGGGATTCGATAGCACATCTGAGTAGGCAGAATAAGTAATCAGTGAACTTAAAGATAGGTCAATTAAAATTATCCAGTTTGAGGGACAGAAAGAAAAACAAATGAAAGAAAATTCACAGAGCCTCAGAGACCTATGGAACACCATCAACATTAAGTACAATGTGGTTCTCTTAGAAGGAGAGAGGAGTGCAGAAAAAATATTTGAAGAGTTAATGACAAAGAATTCACAAATGTGATTAAAACAAAACATTAATCTAAGCATCTAAGAAGCTCACAAACTCCACAAGGAATAAACTTACACAGTTTCACACTAAGATCACACAAACTGTCCAAAGACAATCTGGAAGCAGTAAGAGAAGTAACTGATTATGACAAAGGATTCTCATAAGATTAACAGCTGATTTCTCATCAGAAAACATGGAGGCCGGAAGGCGCTGGATGGCATATTCAAGGGCTGCAAGAAAGACCGTCAAGATAGAATTCTGTACTCAGTAAAACTACTCTTCAAGAATGAAGGAAAACAAAGATTCTTCACCAGTAAACCTGCTCCACAAGAAATATGGGGAATCCTGGGGTGCCTGTGTGGCTTAGTCGGTCGAGTGTCTGACTTCGGCTCAGGTCATGATCTTGCAGTTTGTGAGCTGAAGCCCCGCATCGGGGGGTATAAATAAAGTATAAAAATTCCTTTATTTAGAAATAACATTAGTTACCCATCATTACCATCAGTTTAACAACATTCTGGATATCTTTTTAAATTGGGTGAATGAACAGAAACTACTTTTATAAAGATGGCTTCATATTCTGGAGTTTTTCTTAATTCAGTTTGAATTTAACAGAAAAAAGGAAGCAAAACAGAAGGAGGTGTGAAACTTGAAATATTTGCCATAAGAGATACTTTTTATTTAATTTTGTCAATCTTGGTTTCATGTATTTTGGGGTTCTATTGTTAGATGCACACGTTTATAATTGTCAGGTCTTCTTGATAATAAAGATTATAAAATGTGTTTGTTTCTAGTGGTGTTTGTCTTTAAAGTTTATTTTATCTGAAATTAGCATAACTACTCTAGCTCTTGGTTTTTGCTTGCAAAGTCTGTCATTTCCCATCCTTTCACTTTCAACCTCTTTGTGTATTTAAACCTTTCTGTTTTTGTTTTTTTAATGTTTATGCATGTATTCTGAGAGAGAGAGCAAGCACCTGCAGCATGAGTAGAGGAGAGGCAGGGGGGAGGGGTGGGGGAGAGAATCCCAAACAGGTTCCGCACTGTCAGAGCAGAGCCCAGTGTGGGGCTTGAATTCACAGACCATGAGATCATGACCTGAGCTGAAATCAAGAGTCAGATGCTCAACTGACTGAACCACCCAGGTGCCCCTAAACCTTTTGTTTCTTGAAGATAGCATATGGGTAGTTGGATCTTTTTTTTTTTTTTTTAAAGGTCCATCTGCCAGTCTCTGCTTTTTGGATGGCATGTTTAATCCTTTCACATTTAATTGATGATAAAGTAGAATTTGTGTCTGCTGTTTTGTTATTCTTATGTCTTAACTGTTTTTGTTCCTCTGTCCCTCTGTTACTGCCTTCTTTTGTGTTAGTATTTTCCAGTATGCTCCTTTAATTCCCTTACTGTTTATTTACATATACGTGTGTGAGTGTGTGTGTGGTGTTTGTTAGTTTCTTAGTAGTGTCCTGGGAATTATAATTAAACATCTTAATTTATAACAGTATACTTCAGGTTAATGCCAACTTACTTTCAATAGCACACAAAAGCTTTACTCTTATGTAGACCAGGTCTCCTCTTCCTTTACACTACTATAGTTACAAATTGTATCTTTCTATGTTGTGGACTCATTAACACAGAATTATAATTATTGCTTCATGCCGTTGTCTTTTGAATCAGGGGGAAAAAGGGAATTACAAATGGAAAATACATTAATACTTTCTTTGCCTATATCAGAACGTTTAGTGGTGTTATTTCTTCACGTGAATTCGAGTTACTGTCCAGTGTCTCTGTATTTTAGTCTGAAGGAGTCCCCATATTTCTTTCTTTTAAAAAAAATTTTTTTTTAATGTTTATCTTGAGAGAGATGGAGAGAAAGCACGATCAGGGGAGGGGCAGAGAGAGAGGGAGACACAGAATCCGAAGCAGGCTCCAGGCTCTGAGCCGTCAGCAGCACAGAGCCCGACACAGGGCTCGAACTCACGAACCCTGAGATCATGACAGACGCTCAACTGACTGAGCCACCCAGGTGCCCCTGTTTTCAGTTTTTAAGAGTCTCTTATGGTTTGGCTCCCTCCCTCTCTAACTTTTTTTTTTTCCTCCTTCTCCTCCCCCAGGATCTTCCGTTAAGTTTCTCAGGATCCACATAAGAGTGAAAACATGGTATCTGTCTTTCTCTGTATGATTTATTTCACTTAGCATAACACTCTCTAGTTCCATCCACGTTGCTACAAAAGGCCGTATTTCATTCTTTCTCATTGCCAAGTAGTATTCCATTGTGCATAAAAACCACAATTTCTTTATCCATTCATCAGTTGATGGACATTTAGGCTCTTTCCATAATTTGGCCATTATTGAAAGTGCTGCTATAAACATTGGAGTACATGTGTCCCTATGCATCAGCACTCCTGTATCCCTTGGGTAAATTCCTAGCAGTGCTATTGCTGGGTCATAGCGTAGATCTATTTTGAATGTTTTGAGGAACCTCCACACTGTTTTCTAGAGCAGCTGCGCCAGTTTGCATTCCCACCAACAGTGCAAGAGGGTTCCTGTTTCTCCGCATCCTCTCCAGC